CTGGGTCCCTCGCGAGAAGAGGGAAAAGATCAAGATCATGATCTGGCCGGGAGACAGACACATTAGCGAACGGTGTGAGCGACTCCAAAAAGACGAGGTGACAGCCACCGAGCATCAGACAAACGGAGGAGTTGAGACGAGCGGAGGTGACAATCCGATCCACGTGGTGGGCGGCGCAACTGCCAAGGCGCATGCATGGGAATGTGCAGTCTGTGTTTATGGAACCATGACGAGAGTCGATGAACAGAGTGGGAGATGAAACACGGAGCACGGGGTGCGAGCGACCGAAACGGACAGCCACCGTGAGTGTGTGAACGCGAACAACCCGGCAGCCACAGGGAGTGGGTGAGTGCAACCGACCGCGGGGAGAGGGTAATGCCTTGTGAGAAGACGCAGTGGGACACGGCCGCACCAATATACGACGGGAGGAGTTGCCTATTCTTGCCACCACCTTCCAATCTTGCAACCCGGTGAGGGTTTTGATTGAAGAGAGACAGCCTTGGGCGAAACCGAGGGACGGCGACCAACGGCGAGCATGACCTAGAATTGCACAGAGCACCCACATACGTGCCATCCCTGGGATACACTTGGCTGTGCCCAATTTCCTCCAAGGAGACTTGTAATCGTACTGGTACCACCTCTTGTGGGAGAAACACATCCGCTTGGCCGGGACCGGGATATCCACTCCACACACGGGGTATTCCCCCAACTTACCCGAAAGGGAGCTGGTGATAGCCTCAGCCTCAACCTCAACCTCCACGCAATGCATCGTGGGTCGTAGATACAAAGTGCTGTAGATTTGAGTCCAACCGTGTAATACATGAGGTGCTTGGCTACCAATTCGTGTGACAAAAGTGAAATGGTGAAGAACCCAGTGCGTAGGCTTACGCTTCAAGGAAGTAGATAGTAATGATCACCTCCGGAGGACCGGAGTATGACTACGGAAAGCCACCGGCAGGGTTGCGACACGTTGAGGGCCGTCAAGGCCCGAGGACGTGTTGTTCAGAGTATTACGAAAAACAAGAGGGAGGGGTGTAGCCCCGACCGGACAATACAATAGACAATACAAAAGCATGGGGCTTTTGAACGGAAGCGACCGGTAACGGGCGCGTCGTGAATGAAGGGGGCACAAGGTGTGACACTATGCAAAGCCCATACACTTTGTGTGTGGTACGAACAGTGCGGACGAGCGAGAGCGAGGTACGCACGGACTAGACCGGTGAGCCTTATACCACG